ACCCTCATGGCCTACATATTGCCCTGGAATCTGTCGTGGATTGTTCCCACTAGCGATTCTTAATTTGGGGTGAGACTCAAAACACGCACGCCCACTCCAATCCCTTGCTCGAATCATCAGTCAGATTGGAGTCTGACAGCATATTTGACCGCAGGGCCACCCGCCAGCTCCGCACTCCCCCAACCGCTCCATCCATTCCACCAGGGAGGAAGGGACTGAGGACGAAGGAGCCATGGTGCGGCCAGTAGAGGACCGGGGGCTGGGGGACTTTCCTCCCCATTCCGCCCCACCACAAACCACACCTCCCTGTTTCTTCTTCTTGGATACCTGCTGCCATTCTCCTGACCCCTGCCCACCACTCTCTTTAGGCCCCTCTGACCACCCTTCAAGGTCCTTTTTCTGTAAATCTAATTTCACACAAAAGTCACTGAGATCTTCTGGGAACCCCAGCCTTGCCAATTTCCCATCTTTCCATCCAATCAGGCATGCTGGAAATCCCGTTATATTGAACTTTTTTCTCTCTCATATGCTCCAGCAGCAGTTTCAGAGATCTTCTTCTAGCTAGTGTCTCTGGAGCAATGTGAGCAAAAATGTGCAACTTTGTTTTCCTCATATTTTATTTCAGTAATGTCAAGCAAACTTTTCCATATTCTTTCTTTGTCTTCATAATGATGAAATTGAACTATCACATCTCTGGGACAGTCCACTGAAACTCCTTTTGGCAGTCTAATCCTATGTACTCTCTCAATTTTCAGATTTTCTGTTGCTGGACTTCCAATTATTGGGTTACACACTCTCTTTATTTTCTCCCTTAGATCCTCTTCCTGTTCTTCTTCTGGTAAACCATGAAACCCTTTCTATCATGGTTCTCCTGGTCTTCCAATTTAAATGAAAGCTTCCTTTTTTTCTACGCATCTCCTCCACCTGCATTTCTAATTTATTGATTAATCGAGCATGTGCTTCCATACTTCTTCCACTCACGTCAGAATTTGACCCAAGTCATTGCATAGTACCCCCATTCTAATTTTTCAAGAACATCTCCAGTTTTGCAAACATTTTGTATTTGTAATTGTATTTGTGACATAGCTCCTTGTTGTTCCATGACACTTTGTTCCATGACACTGTTCAAACTTATTGATTCGATAGTCTGGTTCCCTTCCTGGGACCCAGATGACAATCTAGATTGATCTACGTCAGATTTTCTACTTTCTTCTTGTTGTATTTCCTGACTTTGATTCTCTGGACTTTTCTCCTGGGGGGCATGTATTTTTTAATTGTAATAGCTTTCACACTCGATTGTGGAGTTTTTGAGCCCCCACCTTTAGCTGATTTGCCCTTCATTCCTGATTCAACTCTCCTGTTACTTTTCTATTATCTCAGGTTTCCAGTAACTGTCACATACTGTAGGTAATCACCTGAGCATCTCCGCACTGGGTTTTTAGTTGTACTGTAATAATATCATCCCCAAGAAAAGGCCCTATTTCTTTTACTTCTAGTGATTTTTGCCACTACTGGTCTATCACTTTGGGGGCCAAAATAAGTTCAACAGTTCCACCAACCTAAGAGAACCCCCCCACAGTATAGTCCTCTGTCTTCGACTTTGATTTGTCACATATGCATCAATACAACAGATGTTTAACTGCCCTGCCATTGCCCATGACAACTAACCTTCACCCTCTGCACCGACCATTCAGGACCAATCAGTCCCTGTTCACTCCTCGGCTCCCATCATGGCCTCCACGTTGGGTTTCCAAACACACCTGTGGGGGGACTCTGTACATTAGTGATGGTCTGGGGCGTCTCTAGGTCTTCTGAGGATAGTGTCTCAGCACAGGGGGGATCCCCCCAAAGCCCTGTTTCTTCTTTGTCTGCAGAGCCTCCCTTCTCTCCCAGACCTTTAAGATATCCTTGTGGGCTGGGCAGTCCTCTGATGCCTGGGCACTCCCAGCCGCTGCCGTCTCCCACTCCTGGCCCACCAGGGGCCCAGGAATCCTGCACGCCTTACGGCTGCTGATGTCCATCCAGCCAATCCAGGAGCCCAGCACCAGGAAGGTCCCTCGCACTCGCCAACCACTGCCAAGACTGTCCGGCCAACACTAGATACTCCTCGCCAACTGGGACCTTCCTCAGGTTAGTTCAGGGCAGTCAAAGTACAAGGCAGTCAGGCACACATAGCTGATGGTCGCCCGGAGCATCACGCTGCTCATGACGTTATGTTCAGGCCCCTCCCCCGCCTCAAACATTGCTCCTTTCATCCGTGATCTCTGGCACATCGATGGCCTCTTCATACATGACACACTTCATAGGAGTAGCACAGTGGTCACTCAATGGAACCAATGGTGCATGGTGTGTGGGGTGTGGGGGTTACAGGTTTACACAAGACTTAAAATCAATAAAATTACATTCATTAATAATTCATAAAAAATAAATCTGAGTAGGGTTTAAAGTAAAATGTCTGGCATCAAAAGCACTATCTTTAGGTTTACTATATTAAGCCTTTTGTTCTTTGATGGTGTAGGGATGCTGATGGGGATGCAATGTTTATCTTGCCACTCAGGGATTGATTATTTGATTATTGAAGACTGACACTCACAGTTAGCACTAATGGAGAAGCTACTGTAATGTCATAGTATCTACAGAACAGAAATCGTTAAAATGGAGTGTATTTGTGAAAATATTACAATGTATACCGTATTGCTAAGAAAAAACTGAGAGTATAACTAAAGGCAAAACTTATTTTTTTTTTCTAGTTTTTGATAGAGTGCGGAGGGGTTATTTACTACAAGTACTTAGAGTGCCATCAATTTGTGCAGAGCTTTACATATTATATATACACAGTATATATATCATTTTTATACATTCACATCAGTCCTGCCCTCAAGTAGCTTACAATCTAAGGTCCCTAACTCACTTTCATACACATACTAAGGCTGATTTAAACAGGAGCCAATTAACCTACCAGCTTGTCTTTGGAGTGTGGGAGCAGGGGCGGACTGACCATTCGGGCACTCGGGCACTGCCCGAGGGCCCAGGGTCAGTAGGGGGCCCCATGAGATTCCCCTGGCACCTTTCATAGGCTTTTTTTTTGGTGTAGTTTGTAGTTTGAAGACACAGGAGCCCCATGATCCCCTATTACCCAGGGGTCCCATGAGTTGTCAATCCGCCCCTGTGTGGGAGGAAAGTACCCGGAGGAAACCAATGCAGGCACATGGAGAACATACAAACTCCGTGCAGGTAGTGTCAACCTTAAGGAGATTCACCATCTCAATTTGTCCTGTTTACTATTATTATTGAAAGTAAAATAAAATCCCACATTTTGGGTTGCCCCCAGAAAAACAATAGAGAGGAAATCTTCCAATGGGGGGGTCCTCCAAGAGATTCCCTTAATTTCCAAGGATTCCCGGTTTGCTATGGGACATAGATGTTAAAAAAAATCTGACAGTGGTTATAACCCTCCCTTATCTTATCCAAAATGATTAAAAAAAAAGATTTTGCTTATAGTGCTACTTTACATTTTACTTTAAAATAAAGGTGGTATCATATTAATATAGTACTCTAAAATTGATTTATATCCTTATTAGTCCATACCCTAATAGTTTAATGTTTATGCCATCATTTCCCAAAGCCATTAAGAAACACAATGCTGTATGCACCTTTCAGTTATGAGATGTACATATTTATAGTAAGTATATAATAACAATGATCTGTAATTTACCAGCGCACCAAAATGGCCTTCAATTAAATTCTTTAGTGCGTGTTGAGCAAAGTAAGTTATATTAGCATACAAATGTTAGGAGCCTAAAAAAAAGTACACCTAAAAATGTGCTGAAATTGCACCAACATGTCTATTAGTTCCTTTCATTAAGCCGGCCAATTAGTTTCTGCATATACAAATAAAGAAATAGATGTTCATTTACAGTGCCAGAATGTAGAGGACAGCTACACAAGGTTAAAGAATCAGTCTATTATAAAACAGATATTTTGTCCCTGAGTGCATGCTGGCAGGGTGAATTTACAGAAAAGGGTGGCTCTACCTATAGAAGTACGTGGCATTGGGACCTCTTCTGTTGCTGTGTAGAAAGTCATAGGCTTTGGCCAACTTGTTTACTTTAAAAGGGATTCAACAGGATAAAAGAAAACTCTCCTCATCTGTATCTGAGTCAACTGTGAGATAACATTAAGGGGAGATATGGAAGGGGGCTGCTACACTATGTTGTAAAGATGACAATACATATTAAGTTCTTGAATGAATCCAGACTACCCAATACAGATCTGACACCCATGGCCTAATCTAGCCATTTCTGCTGTTCCAGTGCAAGAGACAAAAGAACACATCTAGATTAAAAATGCTAACAGATTAATGTGCAATGGGATATTGCATCCTACCTGAACAAAGTTTGAATCCACAATGATCAGGATGGGAAGCTTTGTGCTTTTTATACTTAAGGCTGTAATTTGCAAATTAGATCTAACCAGTTTTTCTTGAATGATATCCAGTATGTATATGGGTAGCCTATAGGGAGCATCTCAGTGAGTTGTCTGTGAATGTTCTCATTAAACCAGGTGAAGGAATATCTAGTAGTTGTTAGTCACATTTAGCTGAATTTATTCTGTAATGTTAAACAAAAACCACTTGCCTACTGGGCACTTATACTCTCTTCCTGCCCAGGCCAATTTTCAGTTTCAGCGCTGTCGCACTTTGAATGACAATAGTGCTGTCATGCAACATTGTACTCATATTACATTTTTATCATTTTTTGAGACAGATAGAGCTTTCTTTTGGTGGTATTTAATCACCTCTGGGTTTTTAATTTTTTGCTAAACAAGCCAAAAACAACTGAAAATTTGGAAAAAAATATTTTTTTTTTCTTAGTTTCTGTTATAAAATGTAGTAAATAAGTGATGTGCGCTAATGAGGCTGCAGTGATGGGCACTGATGGGGAGGCAATGATAGGTGGCACTGATGGACATTAACAGGTATCACTGATGGGCACTGAAAGGCAGCACTCATATATGGCACTGATAGGTGGCACTGACTGGCACTGATAGGCGGCACTGATAGGCGGCACTGATAGGCAGCACTGATGGTCACTGATAGGCAGCATCTGACTGATATGTGGCATTGATGTGGCACTGATGGGCTTTGGCAGTTTGCATTGATGGACACTGACAGGCGGCATTGATGGACACTGACAGGTGGCACTGATGGGGCTACACTGATTACCAGGGTACTGATGATCAGTGCCCTGATGATAAGTGTACATGTCCCCTGTGAGTAATGTTGATTACAGGCTCTCCTCACGAGCTGTCAGCGTGACAGCTCATGAGGAGAGGCATTTCCTTATTTTGGACACAGCTGATCACATGACAGAGCCAACGTCATCAGCTCTTTTCGTTGATCGGTGATCCGCTCTGTCCCAGGGTTACAGCGCACAATGATTTTCTGCGCTGCACGCCCCCGTGGGCACGCAAGTGCGGTTAGAGTAGGAGGACATCATATGACATCCTCCCAGAACGAGAGAACCGCCTTGCGCCCATCATTGCCTTATATGGTGGGCAGGGGGCAGGTAAAGGTACACACTCCAGGGATGTTGTCCTGATTCTGGCCTCACTTCCTATTAATTCACTGGAGCCTTGAAGGGTTAGAATCCCTGCCAGTTTTTCTTTGCTCTCTTTGTTGCCATGAGGGAGATTTTCCTTTATTTCCAATTCAGATGGCATAACAGCATATATCATTAGGAAGACACTCGCACTCATCACCCAACCAATCCAATGCAAATAAAAGAAATGTTTAAGAAATTTGACCAGAGCTTCGAGCTTACAAGGTCTAATTCCTTCATTATCACTGTGTTCACCATTCCCGCAGAAAGATTTCCAACTTCACAACAGGTTATGCATTGATTATCCAGGATCAGGCATACCACATGCACAGGAATGACTGGTGTGGGCTGGGAACCACCATGGCTGGGATCATCACTGACAGATGTACAGCCATCTTTAAAATGTTCACACCATTCAAATGTCTTACTATGGCTGAGCATCTCATCACCATACTGTGCTTGAAGTCTTCTGTAGATATCCACGAGTTTTATGCATTTATTCGCAAGAAACTTCACCACCACACGCAGTTCCATGCACACACTGTTGTCACTTACTACTACGTGTAGTACCACCATGTTAGCATCCCTTTTTACACCTGTAAAATTAAAAGTCCCAGTTTGACTTGAACACCCTAAATATATATAATTTTTTTTTTTAACATTACACCCAGCCTCTTCTCCATGATGCTTCTAATGCTGGAGAACTCATAATCTTGTGACATCACCCTCACCTAGGCACGGTGGGTAAATAAATTTTTTTCTGTGAAATGCAGTGATTTTCATAGTGGTGGGGGGTCTAACAAGGAAGAAGACCTCATATTTTGATTTTTTTTATTATGCTTCCTGTATGATTTTTCCAGGGCAGTGATCTGCTAGTTAATGAGCCAGGCTCAAATTGACAGCCATAATGTATGCACTTTAAAAAACTACTTAACACTCTTAAATCTATATTTATGGTAAATCAATAAGTAGTCGGACCAATATGGGGATAGCAGCCCTGGAGCCTGTGTCTTTAAAAACGATTTAACAACAACAAGAACTTACACTTGATGTTCTGATCTCTTTAAGCTGTCCTCACACATTCTGGAAGCTAGCTAATAACTGTTGTTTAGATTTAATTTGTCAATAATCACTGTAAGTATAGTGTCTTTATGAGTAAGTGGAGAAGCTGCAATGCCAGACTTTATCTGCAGAGGGCACTGTGTGTAATCACTTCTTCAGGTTGTTCAGAATGTGAGTTGAACTGAGAAAACTGCAGGTGATCAGAAGCAGCTAAACAATATATATGTAGTGTTTTCCTGTATATTTCCCTTTCACCGTATTATGATCAGAAGTAAAAAAAAATAAAGTTTGTGAATCTTTATTTTTTCTAGCCATGTTATTCAGTAGTACATTAGAAAAAAAAAATCATATTTACCCTTTTTGCAATCAGTAGGTGGTAAGTGAAAGCCAAGTATGCTGTGGGTTGAAACAGCTGGTTTAATTCTGAGTTGTGACATCATACATAGTAGCAGGATCTCAGTCTACACCTACAGCAGAATGACTCAAAGGCAAGACATGCACCCCTCCTCATCATCATGTGATTAGTATGGCAGCCAGTTATAGCAATTACATTTATTTATTTCAGGTACTTATATAGCGCTGTCAATTTACACAGCACTTTACACATATATATTGTACATTCACATCAGTCCCTAACCCTCAAGGGGTGTACAAGCTAAGGTCCCTAACTTACATGTCTTTGGAGTGTGGGAGGAAACCGAAGTACCCAGAGGAAACCCATGCAGGCACAGGGAGAACATGCAAACTTCAGGCAGGTGGTGACGTTGCTGGGATTTGAACCAACGACCCTAGTACTGCCAGGCAGAAGTGCTAACCATTTAGCCACTGTGCTGCCATTTCATGAGGTTTCTTTACAAAAACCAACTGTCCGCAGCAGTCATTGAGCCTTTCACAAAGAGAGGACACAGTAGAAGCTGCAGCCGGTGGTATACAGCTTGTAATGTGCTGTTCAAACTATGGGAGCACACTGTGTCTTTTTAATCAATTGTCAATTTTTAAATAGAATTTCTGCTTTCATCTTTTTTCATCTCAGCGCTAACCTTTTGCAGCCACTTCCTGTCTATAGTCATGCACTCCAGCAATGGTTGAAGGGAATTTTATAGGGCAGGTTTCGGAAGACAGGGCATTGTCACCCTATAAAAGGAAATGCCGAAACACAAACCTTTGTGACAGATACACTAGGTATTATTTTATTGAAAACTGCTGATTTAAAAGTCTTGAAAAAGTTACATGAACATGTTAAACATTTATTGGATTTTAACCCTTTTGCCAAGAATGATGTGTCCCACCGGTCATGGCACTGAAAGTGTTAAATCAAGTTGTTTTAAAATTGTAAAGAAAAAGGCTATTAGCTGTAATGTAGAAGTGATCTGGGCAGCCTATAAAGATGCATGATCACTTCAACAAGGTACACCCTACTACATGGTCCTAGGACTGTCCTGCAGCTCCTAGGAGCCCAAAACTGGCACTAATTGCTCAGGGTGGCCAGCAGGGGAATTTGTGAAAAGTATTTACCAATCCTCCCTCTGTGAAGCTCTGAGAACTCAATCTACTTGGGTTGTGAGCAGGGGGGACATCAGGGGTCTAATAGATCCCAGATGTCCCATTACAGAGAACCCGTCACATTGCCCAATACAATGTCCAAACACAGGGGACTTGAGATCGTAATAAAGCTTAGTGAAAACAAATTAAAAAGCATGTTAAGATAACAAATTCAATAAAATAAATAATAATTTAAAAAACAATAACAATTAAAGGACCTCCATCCACCCACATATGCATGCATACATACATACATACCTACACCTAGGTCACAGGTTTGAGTGTAACATCAGTGATCAGGTACGACATATTAGGCGTTGCCTTTTATGTCAGAGACCCATTTTTGTAAAAGGTTTTTAAAGTATATATATATATATCCATAAAGAATTTTGAGTACTGAAATGTATTGTTTTTTGGGAGCATGCAATTTTAATGCTTGACATATTTGGTAGTCTTTGGTGCTTATTTGGTGTTTTTAAAGTTCACAGAAAAAAATGGGAATTATTTTGTTTTTCAGTGCACTAAATTGTTTTCAGTGTATCTTTTATGAAAAATATAGGTTTGAAAGTTAGTTGCACTAACTACCGTCTTTTTATTCTTCAGGTTATCTGCTTTCTGAAAATATATATATTGCTTTGGTGGTATTAAGTAGCTTTTTATTCCTAAAATGCATATTTTAGTGTGAAAATGAAACAAATAAATAAATAAAAGCAAAAGGGTCAATGATCTGGTTTATGTATTAACTTTGCTTAAAAACTGTAAAATAACAGCAACCGTATTTATCTTACAAAATGTAAAAATTATTTTGTTAGGCTGATTCAGCATTGAGTTATTGTCACCTTAACAGATGCATAGGTGTTTGTTTACTAAAATTGGAGATTGTAATATCTGGTGCAGCTGTCCATGATAGCCAATCAGCTTCCAACTTCAGCTTGTTCAATTACGCTTTGACAAAGTCTGGAAGCTGATTGGTTTCTATGCAGAGTTGCACCAGGTTTTGCACTCTCCAGTTTCATTACATCAAACACTAACTGACACTGCTAGACTTCAAAGACCTCTGCACATGCAAGGGTTAAGATACAACCAGGGGCGGACTGACCATTTGGAAACTCGGGCACTGCCCGAGGGCCCGGGGTCAGTAGAAGGCCCCATGAGATGCCCCTGGCACCTTTTTCATAGGCTTTTTTGAGTTTGGGCAAGCACACAGGGGCCCCATGATCCCCTATTGCCTGGGGGCCCCATGAGTTGTCAGTCTGCCCCTGGATACAACTACAGGTAAAGCTTTTTTCTAGTTTTAAATAGAGTGAAGAGGGATTAGAAAACCTGTTGGCCTTTTATTTCTGTCTGCACCCCTGTTAGGAAGATTAACTTTCTTTATTTTTCCTGGTAACCATTATGACCAAAAGTGAAAGTGAAAGATAATTTTCACCACAACAGGAATAGAGGGGAATCTTGCAATGGGGACACCAGCACTGGTGACAACCAGGGATTTCCCTCACATCATTCCTAATTCAGCTATGGTACAGAGAGTGAAGGAAAACATCTCCCCTATGGTGAAGAGATGACAAAAAACTGACAGTGGTTATAATCCTCCTTTTCTCTATCCAAAAAAGAAAAACACATTAAGCTTTACTTTGACCACTTGTGGACCACCCATCTGCAATGTATTGTGGATGGGCACCCTGCCCAGGCAAAGCGACCTACCCATATATTGCTGTCTGTTTCTGGGTCTCTGATTGTAAACAGTGGGAGCCTGTCAGCAAGTCCCAGCCACTGATCCACATCCAGGACCTTCTGATCTGCTGTGTACAGTCACAGCCCAGAGCTCTATGTGGACAATCAATACAGAGTTCTGTAAAAAGAGAACAATCTCTCTGTTTCCCTTCCCTGCACACAGGCACAAATTTAACCCCTTGATCGCCCTAGATATTAACCCCTTCCCAGCTGGTGTTATTAGTACATTGACATTGTACAATATTATCACTGATCACCGTATTAGTGTCACTGGTGATGTCAGTGGCAGTTAGTCAATTCCCCCCAGCATTAGTTAGTGTCAGTTTGCCTGCAGCACTATCGCAAGTCCCACTATCCCACCACCGTTAGTAGCATTTAAAAAGACATTTCCAGTATATATACCA